ATAGTTTAGAATATGTAAGAAAACTTCTGGTTTAGGATGACAGTGTAAATAAATATAATGTATTGTGTTTATTCTCCAAATTATTAAAACAATGTTACCGTTCGCTAGCCACTTTCTTTTTAACATGAGAAAATATTTTCAAATTTCTAATTATGAGCTTAAAGAGCTGAAAATCAAGTAATAAGAAGATATTCTGGTTATTACAAACTATTAGCAAAATGCTGAACATTTTACTTTACAATTTTAAATGAAATTGGGATAAAATAAAAATCCCAAACAGATTTCAATCTAAGCAAGCCTGCAAAATAAAATTGCAAAAAAAGAAAAATAAATTTATCTTTATTTGAAACATAAATTAAGTAAGCAGAGATAATGTGGGATAAATTAAACTCTGGATAATAATTCCAAAATTCTAGGAAAATATTGCAAAAATAATTGTTATATAATGAACATGTTATATTTCAACAAGTTTTGGTTTGTCAATGCTTTCCCACTTTCAGGTCCACAAAGTAAAAAATATTTATCCTGTTGATATAGTTGGTTCATGCTAGGCATTTAAAAGTGAATCATTTGGGGCAGAAAAAGCTAATGAGTAAAGCTTCAGATAATAAAATTATAATTCCTCAGCTTTCACCAGTTTAGTAATGGAGTTTTTACCTATGATCCATGTCCCTACAATTTCAAAGCATAGTATAGAGCTTTCATTGTTATGCTTTGAAGGAAACCTTAATTCCTTTCATAGTCAAAACATTTTTTATAAACTCTCATCATTACATTTTTCTTCTTCTTGGTGAACCTATAATTGGGGCTGGAGGTTCATTTTATATCTTAAATGCTTCATTTTAACAAGCTGACAGTTTATGTCACTGCTATTAATATTATGGTTAAAGTGCATGAAATGAATATTTAAATGTAAATATAAAGAATTTGGCACTAATTACTGTATATGCTCCAAGTTTAAAAGTATTTCACATTTTGCATTTTAGTTTTAGGGGGAGAAAGTTTGAAGCCAAAGATACTGCCTTCTGGTAGGGTATCCTTGTGGCAGAGATCTTTGTAGACAGACAGTTGTGGGCCTGACTAGTGACTTATGAGTTATGGAAAGCAAATACTGGACTTTCCAAAGATGTAGATGTCAAAGATGATTTTATCCAATCCATTCAGGGGCGAGGGTTGAAAACAAAAATAGACTCTTTGGAACCGCAGCAGTCCAAACCAAAAACTCAAGGTAACATTAAAAATAAAAAGTCTAACAAAGGAATTAAAATGCTCTGGTAGCGGCAATTTGAGGCTTGATGTCTATGGAAATTCTTAGTCATCCTGGTCATGGTTGTCCTAAAAGTGCTTTTTCAAGAGGCAACTGGATTTTCTGTTTTTTGTTTTTTTTTTTGAAAACGTTTCACTTCTTATCCAAGAAGCTTCTTCAGCTCTGACTACATGGTGAGAAATAGAAGGATTTATACTCCTTATAGACAGCCAGTCAATTGCATTCTTTTAGTGGGTCGTTAAAGTCACCTGGAGGTTTATCTGTGTCATCATGATCTTCAAAAGAGTGTCATGTGTCTTTTAAATGCAGATGGACTGCTGAATCTAGTCCTGAAGTGTTCGCAATCTAAGAAACTAGAGTCCTTTCTGAGATTTTTTTTGCCATGCTCCCATTTCTTTGGTTGACTCAAGTCGCTGCTTGTCTGACCATTGTCTAATCTGTTACTTTTCCTTCTATCTCCCAATGTCATTCCCAAAGACCATTACATAAATTCTGTCTTAAGCCTGCAGATCTGCAAAATATGTGCAAAAAATGGTTTGTGTGCTTTATGTTATATGCACAGATTGTTGGGATTTAAGAATAAACCCAAACTAGAATTTTAGCTTCAGGATGGTTTATTATATTTATATAATCTGTTTTTAAGCTTGTGAACTGGTCTTTGGTAACCTCTTCCTCTTAGACACCCCCCTCCCATGTTCCTTATCTATGGAGTGGGAATAGTAGTAATGATGACTTGTTGTAGTGTATAAGTAGGTAATAAACCCCCACTGTTCTATCCAGTCTGTCAGTCCTCATGCCAGATGGCAAACTGCCAATTCAGACCTATAAATCAACATGGTTCATGTGAGAGGAATTTTTAGAATATAACAAATAGAAATTATAATTTTCTCTTCACTTTTCATAGCTTTTATTCTTTTGGAAATTACTGTGAATTATTAGAGTAAATTATTATTTACTTTGAGAGTAAACAAACAAGAATGTATATGTTGTAGGAGGAAAGAGAAAGAGAAAATTAAGATGCCCCTCTTATTAAATAGAAGTTTCCAGGAGAAAGAATGTTGTTTATTTATTTAGTCAGTCTTAATAAGCTTAAATTTTGAAGTACAGTAAAAACTTAAAAAAACTTAAAAATAACAATTTTGCTCTCTTAAATAGTTTCAATAAACCAAAATTCCGATCGACTCCAAGAAAAAGGGGTCATGTCACATCATTCTATCAAAGTCTCTTAGAAAGCTAGGTCCTAACAGTTTTTTCTCAACCCTAATAGGATTGATCCAAATTTAATCTCAAGAGTTTGTTCCAAAGAAGAGAGGCCACAATGAAGAAAGTCTCTGGTCCCAGAAGGACTCTTAACATAGGAATCCAGAGAGAGACTCATCCTAGATTTGATTGGATAGGTAGATATTAGAGCAGTCAAACTCGCAACCTGCGGGCCAGATGTGTCATGTGCTGGCCACGCCCACCCACTTCCTACTTCCCTTTAATTTCTGGATAACAGTTGAATATAAGAATGAACTTTATTCCATATTAATCTGTTGTGTAGAAAAAAATAAAGTTACTTAACAACTGCTAGGTTTAATTAACATTATGTGTATATTTAATTAACATTATTCCCTGAAACGAGATCGGTTCCATCCCTCATTTTCTGACAGTCGTCAGCCCTGGAGGCGGTCTCAGGGAATCAGTGAGATCTTGAGATGACTTTCATAGCTAATCAAATCTCTTGTGCAGTGTGCTTTTCAAAAAAAAATGATTTTTTGACATGTTTATTGTTTTTATATATTTTTTTGCTGTAGTGTGTATTACTCAGTCTTTTTTTAAAAAAAATAAATTTATTTTGACAACAAACATTGACTAAAACAAACATAAAACATCAAATAAAACCATCTTTCCATTGTACAGTGTGTCAGTTGGTACATATCTCTTGTGCACAATATCAACAGTCTTTCCCTTCTTAAATTTAGATTAAAATTCATATTATACAAATCAATTATGCATACTATATTATTATTATTAACTCCTTATTAGATTATAATTATAAATTCAAATCATCCTTTTTGAGCAAATTTCAACTTCATTATCTTATCTTTACTATTATGTTATATTATTATAGTACACTGCTCAAAAAAATAAAGGGAACACAAAAATGAAGACATCCTAGATCTGAATGAATGAAATATTCTTATTAAATACTTTGTTCATTACATAGTTGAATGTGCTAACAACAAAATCACACAAAAATTATCAATGGGAATCAAATTTAGCAACCCATGGAGGTCTGGATTTGGAGTTACACTCAAAATTAAAGTGGACAAAAACACTACAGGCTGATCCAACTTTGATGTAATGTCCTTAAAACAGGTCAAAATGAGGCTCAGTAGTGTGTGTGGCCTCCATGTGCCTGTATGACCTCCCTACAATGCCTGGGCATGCTCCTGATGAGGTGGCAGATGGTCTCCTGAGGGATCTCCCCCCAACTCCTGGACAGTCTGTGGTGCAATGTGGCGTTGGTGGATGGAGCAAGACATGATGTCCCAGATGTGCTCAATTGGATTCAGGGGAACAGGCAGGCCAGTCCATAGCATCAATGCCTTCATCTTGCAGGAACTGCTTACACACTCCAGCCACATGAGGTCTAGCATTGTCATGCATTAGGAGGAACCCAGGGAAAAAACCGCACCAGCATATGGTCTCACAAGGGGTCTGAGGATCTCGATACCTAATGGCAGTCAGGTTACCTCTGGCAAGCACATGGAGGGCTGTGCGGCCCCCTAAAGAAATGCCATCCCACACCATTACTGACCCATTGCCAAACCAGTCATGCTGGAGGATGTTGCAGGCAGCAGAATGTTCTCCACAGCATCTCCAGACCCTGTCAAATTTCTCCTTAGTTCTAAGTTGCTTCTCTCCTTGATTAGTTTCCATCCATTGCTTCTAGTCCTGCCCTCAGGTGTTTTGGAGAATAGCTCGACTCCCTCTTCTTTTGTGACATATTGGAACACTGCTATCATGTCTCCCCTAGTCCTTCTTTTCATTAGACCAGATATACCCAGTTCCTGCAATCATTCTTCATATGTTTTAGCGTCCAGTCCCCTAATCATCTTGCTCTTCTCTGCACTCTCTCTAGAGTCTCAACATCTTTTTTACATCATGGTGACCAAAACTGAATGCAGCATTCCAAGTGTGGCCTTACCAAGGCATTATAAAGTGGTATTAACTTCACATTATCTTGACTCTATCCCTCTGTTTATGCAGACTAGAACTGTGTTGTCTTTTTTGTTGGCCATCTTTTACCTTTTCCTGATTTTACTGGGATTTCCTTTGCTTGATAATTGTGAGTTGTCCAAAGTTGTTGTGAGTTGGATTACATACAATTTTAGTATTTATTTATTTATATTATTATGGTTTGAAGGTTGGTTGCATAGTCAGTTTAGACTGGATTTGGTATTTTTCTACAAAGTGAAGAAAGAGGAAACTTAATATTGTGAGCAGAAGCAAATGTAAGATGAATAGAGGAATATGGCCTAAAATTTGCCCAGAGAGATAAATGTGCATTTATCAAGGCATCAACAATTGTAACATTTGCTATTCATATTGCCTAAAATAATTATCTTGAATTATTTCTACTCTAATTACCATTCAGAGTACCACAGATAAGCAGCCTTCTCATAATGTTCCCAGAATTGATAATTTAATTCCCTGTCTTATCGTGTTATCTTTTCTGTTCTGACAGTCAAACCCAGAAGAGATCCATTACTTGGTAGTCCAGATATTACTGATATAGTTCCAAGTAGAAAAAGAAGACAACTGACTTCAAAAAATGGAAATACTAAACCAAAGGTGACATTACAAGAAGCTCAAACTACTTCAAAAGAAACGTAAGCTTTTGTAAACATACATGAGGGATAAATTTATAATACAAAAATCTTGGTATGTACATAAATACTTAATTTTTACTGTGAGTATTACGAGTGAAGTATAAAACCATATAAGGTTATCTATTTCCTTTTTTTATTCACCAAAATGACATAAAAATAATATGTGTATAAATTTTTCCAGATAAAAAAATTACATCCTAATACTCTGCCTAAAATCAGTTATCTTATGCTGTTTGGCTATAGAAAAAATGAAATTATGTGTTCATTTGTAAATCCTTAAACTAGACAGAAAGGTTAATTCTTAAAATGACTTTTACTGTTTCAGACATTTGATCAAATTTTGCATCTACTGAAGCTGTACTTACTAAAGTATATTTCGTTAGGTTTTTTTTTTATAGTCTTTGAATTTCAAATGTTTGGTTACATTAATCTAAATGAATTTTAATTATGATTTCCCTACTGATTATTCCTATAAAAATCCCATGAGCTAACAGAATGGTATATAGTGTCTGCCATCACATAAGCATTCATTCCAAGGAGAGAAATATAGATGTGCCCAGGGGTGGGATTCAATTTTTTTAACCAGTTCTGTGGGCGTGGCTTAGTTGGGGTGTGGCTTGGTGGTCATGTGACTGGGTGGACGTAGCTTGGTGGTCATGTTATTGGCTGGGCATGGCCAACTCAATATCACTCACATCGAGGCACGCATCTCCTCGCCTGGTCTCTCATGATTGTGGGGATGCTGCAACAGTCGTAAGTTTGAAAAATGGTCATAAGTCACTTGTTTCAGTGCCATTGTAACTTTGAATGGTCACTCCACACAAGCAAAGGAGGGGGAGTACCAGCAAAGGAGGGGGAGACAGGAAGTCTAGTCCTGCCAAGAATGTAATAAGGGTTAATGGAGAGGCAGTTTCTGTAAGCCAGTGGTCCCCAACCTTTTTTGTACCATGGCCCGGTACCGGCATCACAAAATGATCCACGGACCGGTACCGGCATCAGCACGCACGACCAAGGCAAGGCGAGCTGAGAGACCAGCCAGCCAGCCGTCCCCCCGCTTCTCCCCGCCACCTTCAACTCCTCCTTTGTACCTTCTCACGGTCGATGGGCTTTTCGGGCTCTTTCTTAATCTCCTCCTGAGTAACGTGAGACTCCACTGCCATCGGGACAGCTCTTCGTTCGAAGCCGCTCCCCCTTCGACGAAACTAAGGCATGAGGATTCCTTCAGCACCCAAACGCCGCTTTCCAACCGACGACCGACAAGCTCACCCGGAAGCACTTTCTCAAGCACTGTCGAAACAAGACAGTGGCGTCCAAGCAAAGTAGGCGGCCTGGTACAAAATGATCCACGGACTGGTACCGGTCCAGGGCCCGGTGGTTGGGACCCCTGCTGTAAGCAACACCAGAAGGTTTCCTTCCTGCCTTCTTTACAGGATTAGGCCAGTAATTTCTTCTAACAACCGGTTCTCTGAACTGCTTAGAATGTTAACTGGTTCTAGCGAATAGGTGCGAACTGGTAGAATACCACCCCTGGACGTGCCCCATCCTGTTCATGTTGGAGATACCATTTAAGACACTTTGGGGTTGAAATGATTAGTCAAGGACATCACCGTTGCCGAGGGATGCCCTTGGGGGTTCCTTTTTTGTCCCTGTCAGACCTGAAGAAACTCACCCCGCAACATGCAGCAGCACTCCTATCTTGAATGGGGACATCCTATCCTTCAACCCAGCCTCCTAACCACATGAGCAACTATGCTCCTTTAATATAGATGTTAGATTATGTCATGTTCCCATATATGGATTTTAGCTTATTCACACCTCATGAGGGAGAATGAAAGTCATATGCAGTATCAAACATGGGGCATGATGACATAATGTAACATCAGTTTCACTGCTCATAGCAATTAAGGAAAGCTACTGCATATATAACATAATATAACTAGTTCTGAAACTATTGAGCCTTAGGACATGGATAGTTCCTAAAGTTAATGTGCTACATATAATCATTTAAAGTATGAAGGTCTGTGAGTTCAATTCTTCGTAAAGAATTTGAACCTTATAAAATGACATCTATCTACTTATTTTGATGAATCCCAATAGGACAAAATTGGTTACATGTTCTTCCTGGTGTTCAGTATAACTGAAAATACTACATATGATAAATTCTAGAATTTTTGTTAAATGTCATAAAATCTGAAATAAACCAGATCTTTTTCAGCTTTCTTTGATTTTTATGCATTGGTAATGATTTCTAACTGTCCTTAATATTTTTGACAACTTAAGAATTTTCAGTACTTTAATTAGAATTGGTAACGTTATTTTAATTTTGCTGTTGCTCCCTTGGAGTAATTAAAAAATCATTTTTTTTTCTAATCATACCTGTTTCTGTCATAAAACAATTTGTCTAATCCAGATTTCTTGTTTAAATTATACATTTTAATTATGGCTAATTTAATATTAATATTTAAATTGCTAGGTATTATGTGAAATTGTACTATTATTTTCTTGTATGATTTTATTTTTAAACTTCAGAACTAATTGTTTTCCCTCCTCTTTTGAAATTTAACTATTTCTATTTCTGTTGGAACTATCCATTCCAAGGAAGAAAAGGATAACATACTTTTGATTTTTCTGTGGCACATTTCTTTTCAAGACACTAATCTATATCTTTAATAAATTAGCATATTGATAGATTCAACATATGTGATTAATATATTTTAAATAACTTATTTTTCTTCACATTTCTTCTTTTAAATTACTTTTATTCTGCCTTTATTATTTTTATAAATAAATCTGATACTTTCTCCTCCTCCCATATTTCCCACCAAAACAACCTGTGAGATGGGTTGGACTGACAGAATGATTGGCCCAAAAGTCACTCAGCCAGTTTTCATGCATTTTTAATGTTCCATTTATAAATTTTATAAATGTAAGCAGTCATTAAAGCTATTTTTAAACTTCCAAGATCTTTTTGCTTAAATAAATGTTGTTTAAGATAACTCTTTAAAATTAAGACAAAAAGTAATGTTAGAGCTTCATTGCTGTATTAGTAATTAACATGGGTATTTACAAATAAATGATCTTCAGATATTTTTGCAATCTATATTTTCATGGGAGTGGACAGAATCTTCATGCGGTTTTCTATTTATAACTTAAATTTTTGATGTTACATTTTTATTTACTTAATTGTTCCAATAGATAAAGCATCACTATATGTTTTGGCTCTTATTATCCCTTTCATGAAACAAGCAAACAAGAAATACAAAATGGCATTGTATCAGAAAAAAAGGTTTATTTGTAATTCAAATGCAATAAGGTACTCTATGGAAAGAGATGTCATTATACCAGTAAAGTCCATAGTAAAGTAAGTCTTTGGGCTGAAATCTTGACAGAACTTTTAGCAACCTAGTGGAACACTAAGATTACTATCCTGGGATTCTGGTTGGAATAGAGTTCTTTTGCTTTTTTGTAAAAGCATTTCCAAGAAATCTCAGGGGAACAAAATCACTCTGTATATCAGGATTTTGGAAGGCAACTGACATAAATTTCAAAATGGAATCTTCAGAATACCTGCTAAATTATGATCATTGTATTTTTCCATTTTGCAAATAACAAGATATAGAAGTTACAGCAATAAAGTTCTAAGCAGATGTCTGCTTTATATTTTAATATGCACAAGGTTGTACTAACTCTTAAATAATGGTCCTGTCTCTTACAAAGGGCAGGGATGGTTCTTAGTCAAAACTATAAGACATTTGTGTCTGTCTGTCTGTCTGTCTGTCTATCTATCTATCTACCTATCTATCTATCTATCTATCTATCTATCTATCTATCTATCTATCTATCTATCACAATTTTTCAATTTTTCATCTCCTTCAAAGAGAAGCTCTATAATAATAACAACAACAATAGGCTAGGAACATTTATTTATCTGCCTGCATGTTTGACATAAAAGTACAACTAAATGTTTGTGTCTACTCAGAAGGGTATAGAAGAACAAACGTTCTAGAAATTGGTTTGGAAGCAGTAACATTGGTGCTTCTAACCATATGCCCCTTTCCTTAAAACACAGGAACATTGAAATGGGGCAGGATTGAACTTGGCATGCTGAGAAAAAAAGCGAAGCCTGTTTTATTATTTGCAGGAAATATGAATGATTCATTTATCCTAGCTATGGCAAAAATATTCAGCTTATTTTCAGGGTCATGACTCATTTTGCATCTGGATCCGAAACCAGTGTGGTCCAGTGAATAGTTTATTAGGCTTGGATGTTAGAAATCTCATTTCATATCCCAGCTCAATCCTGGTCTTACTGGGTGGCCCTGGGCAAGATGCTATCTGGGCTGATTCCCCCATCTGTAAATGAGAATGTTAAAGACTAACACCATTGTGCAACTTTTGAGAATGGGTAAAGTTATTATAGAAGTCTTATTACAAGTTATAATACAAAATAACTGAGCCAGGATACTTGATATTTAACTAAGGTTTGCTCCTTTTAAAAAATTAATTCATGTCTTAGTTGTGTTAAAGCCCTAACATACAAACAGTCTTTGCTGAACAATGCTAGTTGAATTCTGTTGCAACTACTACATTTTTGTAAGGCGGATCTGAAAAGCCACGGCTTTGCATTTTGATGCTGAGAACTCTTCTCTCCTGCTGCCACTCTGTCAATTATACTTTGAATTGGAGTGGGTTGCAAACAGGGATCAAAGAAAACTAAAGACTAACGTTATGGGTTTTCCTTCTGGTGGGTGTGAGACTGACCTGTGCAAACTCTCATGGGAATTTTAAGTGCATGGCCTCCTGTACCACCTCATTTAGTAATCTATATTATCTCCTTGGGAAATGTCTTTCTAAAGTTGCATAGGATTTTGTTCAAAACACTGTAAAGGACATAAACAGCTTTTCTTTCGATAACCCTCTGCCTTCTTAAAAGCGTAGCAAGTCTGGGGTACATCATGAATTCCTGAAGGATTATATCTCTTCTTTTGCCTAATTTATTG